AGCTAATACATGTAAAACTCTTAGACTTAGTGCTTGCACGTGGTAAGGGTAAAATAAATGTTAGTGATTCATATTATTAACCCTCAGTTATGTGTCAGGCTTGTAGTATATAAACAGTAATAGGACATAGTTCCAGTTCTAGAAAATTTATGATGTAGAAGAGAGGATGAACAATAAACACGTAAATTAATATGCTTGAAAAATGCTTTGAGTACATAAATGACTGACTGTCTTGGAATGGAAAATACATTCAAAATGAAAATAATCAGCCACCTAATCAAATCAAGTTCAGATAGTCATTTATTGTTTTTCAGTATTGTTATTGTAATGATGCCTCCTATTCTTGGCGTCTGAAATTTGGAGCTCCCAGGGCTCAGGCCTGTGACCTTTATTCTTCTGTGTCCTGGCTCATTCCTAGGTGACCTCACCCTTTCATGAACTATAATGCTGAGTTCATGCCTCTGAGCCCAGCATCATGCCTGAACTCCCATATATGAGTACATCTAAATTCAAATTCTCCATTCTGAGCCATCCCAAACTGCTTTTCCCACAGTGCTCCCCAAGGCAAATCCCAAAACCCGTCATCCCTAAGAGCACAATGACATCCTTCCACCTAGACTACTACAAGAGCTCCCTAAGGATCACAGAGTTTCCATTCTTGCTCCCCGAGAACTATTCTCAGCACAGCTGCCGGGCGACCTTTCCAAAACATTAACGATCCATGGCCTTCCTCTGCTTTAAACACTCCAGGGGGTTTCCTTTGTCCTGTCTTTTTCATGGCCTATGAGGCCCGAGAAGATCTGCCCCTGAACTGCCTCTCTGCCCTCCTCCCCTACCCTGCCCCCTACTCTCTCTCTTGCCCCCTTCTCCAGCCACACCAACCTCCTTGTTGTCTCTTCAATAGACCAGTCAAGCTCTTACCTCATGGCCTTTGTACATGTTGTTCCCTCTGCCTGGACTATTCCTCCTCCAGATAGCCTCTTGGGTCCTTCTCTGACTTTATTCAAATGTCTGCTCAAATGGGAGCCTCCGAACTAAAACAGTACATACACTCCCACTCCAGTCTCTAACTGCTTTGCTCTGCTTTTTTTCCTAGTGCCTGACATTCTATTTTATTAGTTTGTTGCCCTAGCTTGAATATAAGCCTTATGGGGCAGAGTCCTTGCCTCTTTTGGTCACACCCCCAGGGCCAAGAATGGTACCTGACACACAGTAGATACTCAATCGATATTTGATGGATGAATGAATAACTATTACCTTAATTTACTCAGAGTTTCATAGTTTACAAAGTAGTCACATATACAGTGTCTTAACGAGCCTTCTAACGACTTGGGGGATAGGCTCTGTTATATCTATTTTATAAGTAAGTTCTAAGTCTGCTTACTATTTTTGAAGTTCCTTGTTCAAGGTCATGCAGCTCTTGTTCACATAGGTCAAATGCTGGTCTTTTACCTTCAAACTCAGATAATCATAAAATATTAACAATAGTTAACAGTCTGTTAGTACTCCTCTTGACACTTGTAGTATCTCATTTATCAATGCTTTGAGATAGGTACTCTTATGATTGCCATTTTACAGAGGAAGAAACTAAGTAACTTACCCAAGGTCACAGAGCTGCTGAGGAGTACAGTCAGAATCTGGGTCCTGGATACTTGACTCCAAGGACTTGTTCTCCAATCAACTAGCCCACTAGGTACAGCCTGTGACATGAAAAGAACTAAGTAAACTGTGGAACACAAATGCACAAATATCAAATTTGTTCTAGGACTTTCTGCCATTCTTAAGTTTTTTGCTTTTGTTGCATTTAGCAGAAATTTTCTCTTTCTTTAAAATATAAAGTGGAGAGTTGTATCTCAGATGCAATTTACATTATGTTGTTTTCTGCTTTTCATTCATCTTTGAAATGTTTGAACACTTGTTTCTGAATTGAGAGGTCACTTAGGACTCACAGGCAGGGCTCAGGGGTTTCCAGTATTTTGTCCTTCTGCCTCCTCCTGTAGCTTCGTGGTGCCTTCATGACCAAGTGCACAGGCTGCTCTTCCCTCTGAGCTTCAGATTCCGCCTCCTCGCCCCATGACATGCCTTGTTTCATAAATTCTTGCCTTCAGTGTATTACATAACCTACATTGTGGAACACTCAATTTCTATTCCTTTCCTTTCTTTTCTTTTTTTCAAAAGTAGGAATCTATTTGATTGGATGTGATGGCACCCGAGGCAGAAATGTGGCAAAATTTTAAGTGGTGAGAAATCTAACTCAGCTACCTGGATTTTGAGAAGCAAATTGTGATTCCCCGACTCACTTTGTGTTGAACTGGACAAGTTAGATGAACTAAAATAGCTTTATTGGCTTGCTTCATGTCTCCAGGTCAAGCAAGTGCCTGCAAGGGCTGCCTATTTTCTTCTCTTTCTGGATATTCAAATTATTAACTTAAAAGCGTGCATGAAGTTACACAAACACAGGTGGATACCTTTAAAATATCAAACTCTTTAGATCTTAAATAAGCAAGCATTCAGATGTTGAAAAACGAATCAAGTATTTTAATTGTTTCCTAGTTAGTTCTTTATAACATAAAGGTTCATAGCGTTTATCTGGGAATAGACTGAGTTCCTTCAGGGCAGCACATAATCTATTCATCCAGGTATCCCCAACATCTGGCACATAGTAGGTGCTCACCAGAGTAGGTGCTTAACATACATGGTAGGTACCTGATAAATATATGTTGAAGCTCTAGTACTGTCTCTTATTGCCTACTTGCAGACTTGCCTCACATACTTTCCATGCACAGGCATGTGCGTGTGCACACACACACACACAAGGTTGTGAGCTCCTAGAGGAGAGGATCTGTGTCTTATTCATCTCTGTATTCTCTAATATAGGGCCAGCAGATAGCAGGTGATAATTAAATGATCACTGAATTGAACAGCACAAGGATTTTAACTTGGGTTATTCGGTTCATCTGCCCTTCCCCCACCCCATCTTGTCCATTTGGCTCTCAGGCCAGACTGCCTAAAATCATCATATCAATCTAATCAAGTATTTGAAAGCCAGAGACCTTGAAAGTATTTAAATCAAGTTCAGAATTACATTTTTAAATTTACTCCAGCCATCTCATAAGTAGATTTAGGAACTAGCTAACTGCCATCCCAGGAGGGAAAAAAAAAAAAAAAAGCATAAGCCTAATGAATGTGGTCAGACATACCATGTAACAGATGTCCAACGTGCTGCCATGAGCTTAAATCATAAATATGATGGCTCTGTTTGGCATAGCAAAATATATTAGAAGTGTTTTATCGGTCACTGGGCAACTTGCTCGATGGGAGGGGAATGATCCTGAAAAATGCAGGAGCTCTGACTAGTAGCATCTCAGAAGGAGCCCTGGAGAAACACAGATAATCTGTTTGCGATGATTCATCAAGTTGGTCCTTTGTTTCCCTAATTTGAGTGTCAAGTGCAACCATACAGTAAAGAATTGCCAAGATCTGATAAGATTCTCTTCTGGCTGCTGCTTTTCTTGCCCTAACAACTGGCACTATTCATGCCTAGAGCACAAATTGAATAAATAGTTTCAAGGCTGGCAATGTTGGACCGTGTTTTGAATTTTCTGTTTTTCTTTAAAAGGCTAAATCCTATGTGTGCCTTGCTTTCCCCCAAACACATTGCATGGATAGTCACTGTGATACCAATAATTTTAACTTTCTTAATACTAAGTATGGGAGGATGCCTCATAAGTTAAAAATAGTTCCTGTTGTATCACCAGTGGAGCAATGGATTACTGAAGATTAAAAAAATGATTGTAATGCCTTTTTTGGCCTTGAGAAAGCTCTTACTGTGCCTATGGTTCTGTTGGCCGGCTGATCATTTCCATCTTAATGTAATCTTTAACATTACGCTGCTACAGGTGAGGTGTTAATACATTAAGACAACTATTCTCGCTGAGCAATTTCACAAGAAATATGTCTTTAACTAAATTAGACATTTAACAAATGCCATTTGTAATTCAACGCAGGGAGCAGAATGTCCCTAAAACAAGTTATTGATGTGAATTCCCCAACATAAGACAATAATTTTTAAAAAATTTTAATCGACATCCTAAGGTGAAATTATGTACTGTCAGTGCAGTAGGCCAATATAAGGAGAATCCCAAAGTCCTTAGGAATCTTAAAAAATAAGCAGTAAGCAGTTTTATCTCTAGCAGCCAGAAATCTTTCCTCACAATTAGGAAGAATCTACAGGTCCAGTTAATCATGTGGCAATGATGTGCGGAATGTATCTAACACTTTAAAATCATTTAGATGAATGCTAGAAACCTCAAAGTTCTGTGAGAAATATAAATTGTAATATTTAAAACAAGTAAATGAATTAAATAATTTAGATGAAGATTTAGATATAAAGGTTGCAACTGAAATAATTTTTTGGAAAAATTATTTCCTGACAGATTTCCCCATGCTATGAACATAAATGCAAAAACTATAAATAGGGCTACTGACATTTGGGCAGTTGACTTGTTTTTATCAAAATTACAAAACAGAATTTAGTTTGCAGATTTTCAAATGGCTATGATGTTCAGAATCCGATTGGGTTCTTCTCCCTTTTTACTTGATGACTTCATAAAAGATAAATAAGCCCTCGGACCAATAGGTGGGTACACTAGCACGGTTAACTCTCTCGCCCCAGAAATTCCACTAGGCTGAAAAGATTACTATTTGGGGGCGGGAAGGGGGGGATGCAGAGGTCTTTAGGACCCAGCAGGCGGCGGCAGGCGGCAGTTGTGTAGATCACTGAGAGACTACGAGGGTCCGGTTCAGTTTTAATTCTGTCTCTAATCTCTGCAACAGCCGCGTTTCCTGGGTCCCGCGGCTCTCCTACCCACTCAGCCGCGGCCAACGGCCGGGCGAAAATCAGAGCCGCCCGCCCCCCATCACCCACCATGGAAACCTTCCAAGAAAAAGTGGCTCCGGACGCGTGTGCCTGAGGATTCCTCACAAAAGAGGTGCCCAAAATGAAGACCCTGATGGTGAGTCATTTGTGGCAACTCCTCTGGGCAGAGGTGGAGACCCCCAGACGCAGCGTCCCCGGGGCGCACCCGAGAGCTCCAGAGGCGCCTAACCCTGCGCCGCGAGGTCGCCTGTTACAAAGGGACAACTTTCCACCTGCTCCGTGTCCCCTTCCGGTTCTCTGGTTCTGCCTGGCTGGGAATCCCAGAGCCGGGCTGGGAACTCGGGTTGCTTCGGCTTCTGGATCTCAGGCAAGAGGTCTGGGGACCCACGGAGAGCTGGAGAAGCGGTGGAGGGGTGGACGCGTGGCTGAGGGGATGGGGTGGTGCCCAAAAGCAACAGCCTGGCAAAAAACTAAGAGGGGCGGGGAAGGGGGGATCTTTGCAGACTTTCTTGGTTTTCTTGTCGGATTTCAAACTTGCAAGAATCGCCGAGGTAGAGCCCCGCGCGTCCAGAAAGGGCCGGGTGCAAGGGCTAGAGGTTCCAGCAGCCGAGCTAGGGGAGGGAGGCCCCTCCTCAAAGTACGAGCCCACCTCTGCCCTCGCCGCTAGCGCGCTTTCCCTCGCGTAGCCGGGCGCCGCGTACCACCTGCCCTCTGCCGAGAGATCTGGGAGGTGGCGTGGGCCGGGAGCAGCTACGCTCCCGGGCATCGCCTGCCGTACGCGCGAGGACGGTGCCTCCCCTGCCCCGGCTGCGCGCCGAGGGCTAGGACGCGGGCCACCTCCCTCCAGCCCTGGACTTACCCCGCGCGTCTCACCGTCTCGCGCGTGTCCCCGCCGGCGCGCTCCGCCGGGGTTGGCTCTCAGCGGCTCTCCTCTGCTCTCTTCCGCCCGCCCGCAGCGCCATGGTCTGGCTGTGTGTTTGGCGCTCACCACCATGTGCACCAGCTTGTTGCTCGTGTACAGCAGCCTCGGCGGCCAGAAGGAGCGGCCCCCGCAGCAGCAGCAGGCAGCGGCGACCGGCAGCGCGCAGCCGTCGGCGGAGAGCAGCCCCCCCCCCGAGGCCCCGGGCCCCCGCGGGACCGCAGCCGCTGGACGGATACCTCGGCGTGAGGGACCACAAGGTGACAGCTCGCTCGCCAGCGCGCACGCCACCCAGCCTGGGGATCCCGCACACCTGAGCCTGCCCCTTTCCCGGGGCTGGGAGGCGCCGTGAGTAGGTGCCATTCGGAGGCTGGAAGCGGGAGCGGACCCACTGGGGTGGGGTGGGATAGTTCCTTCTTGCTGTGAATTCCCGTTTGGAGTCGGAGGTAAAGTTTTTCAGGGAATAGGGGTGAGACGAGTGGACCCAAAGCCCCATTTCCTAACAGGAACCGACCCTGGAAGTAGATCTGGTCCCCAGAATTGCAGCCGCGGGTGGGTGCTGGGTGCCTGAAGCGTCTGGTTTGGCCAGTCGCGCCCTGGTGGGAGGAGAGCCGGGATGGCGCGAGTAACGGCCGGAGCATTGCCCCGCCGGGAACTGGAGGGTGAGTAGCAGTCAGTCCGCGGCCCCTGCTCGAAGATTCCCCTCTGATCTCGGCGCTTCGGATTGCTCTGGGCAGAATCAGCGCAGCCTTGGGGAGCGGTCCCAGGCAAGCGCGGAAGGCTGGAGGCACAAACTCAGCTTTCATTGGCTTGAAACTCATCGTTGAGGGCCTGTTTTTCTCTGCCTTCCGGGAAGCCGTTGCATGGCTTGTCTAATAATAAGATGATTTTCTTTAATTGAGCCTCCTTTCCCCCAAATAATAAATCTCCGGTTTCAGTGTGCGAAGCCTCTGGGAGAATTCTAATCAAGTTTCCTGATTCTGAGAAGATCTTTTAATACAGTTTGAATATATTCCCCATTATTTGAAGCTGCTAATATGTTTTTATTAAAACACAATTACACTCTGTATCTGCTCTATAAAGGCTAGAGGATTTCTTGAAACCACCCAGCTATTCCGCATTTTACATTACTAGATTTTATGCTTGTGAACCAAAGTATTATTTAGCAGGTGGTCCTTTTGCATGAAAAGGTGGGTCTTACCGTTCATGAAAAAGTCAAAAATTTTTTAAGTGGCAATCAAAATATTTCCACTCATTTGTGCAGTACATATTGCAAAAAGGATTTTGGAGGGTAAAAATTTAAGGCAGGACCCAGCTGCTAGGGATCCTTGAATGCCTGTGGAAAAAAACAACATACCATGAAATGTGGATGGGTGGATAGATAGGCCAATAGGTATAATGTATAAGAAATGCTAGATATAAAACAGTACTGTTAGGGTACAGAAATGAGAAACATCACTGCCCTGGAAGGTTTAAGGAAATTCTCTCTGAAAAGGTAGACTTTGCACTGGGGAAAATTTGGGGAAGCAGAAAAAAGGAAGGGATTTCTTTAGGAAGTGATTTGGGGAGTGCAGAGGGGGCTCGTGATAGAATCTTGAAATCAAAAGTAGAGAGGGTCGTCAGTTTTTCAATAACAGTTTCACTTTCTTCTTTAAGATGTTGGTGGATTACACTGTGTATGTGCAAGCAACCTATAAGGGCTGGAGTTCTAGAAAAGTTTAGACATCGGCTTCTGACTGGATGGATGTGGTGTTTATGTGTAACTGGTATAGGATGAATATATTGAACTTGGTGGATTTTCATGGTGTTGTTTAGTGGAAATGGCTATATAGCACTTGTGAAGCTTTGATTAATGGGGTGTCGAAAGGTAAATTTGCTGAAAGCTTTGATCTGCCTTTGGAATGGTATTCCTAATACTTTCCTTCCTGTGTTCTGCTGGATGGACCACAGCTGAGACTATTGATAGCATAAGGCAAAATATGATGCCCTCGTGTTTGTTTTTAAAAACAGTGTTTATTCACACAAATATATTGGATTCCCTTTTCCGTGTATCAAAGTACTATTCATTAAAATGAAAAACAGCCCCTTTTAAAAGAAATGTTGAAACTCAATATGAGAAATCATGATAATCTATAGTAAAGGGTTTTATAAACTGTGAAGTGTTATATGGATGATAAACGTGTGAACGTCCTTGGAATTCTTTTTTTATTTTAAAGATTTTATTTATTTATTTGAGAGAGAGAGAGAGAGAGCACATGAGAGGGGGAGGGTCAAAGGGAGAAGCAGACTTCCTGCCGAGCAGGGAGCCCGATGCGGGACTCGATCCCAGGACTCCAGGATCATGACCTGAGCCGAAGGCAGTCGCTTAACCAACTGAGCCACCCAGGCGCCCCGTCCTTGGAATTCTTAGCAGAGAATTATAAATGTGACCAGGAAGATCTTTGCATCTAATGAATACCAGTGGAATTCTTTCAAAGAAAACCAACGTGTCATCAAATTCCATACTCCAAGGATTCAACAGAGTTTACCCCACCCCAAGCAAAAGAACAAATGCAAATCTTAAAATCTATGTCTCTTCTGTAGGCATTATCCCAATTGTCCCACTGAACCACATGTAAACTTCTACTCAAAGTGTCATCATTTTACTGCTATTATTTACCTGGCTAGAAATTGGGTGAAGTTTCATTTCTGATGGCTATAGGGAGGTATATGTAGTGTTCATGTCCTCTCCAAAAGTTGCTATTTACTTAGGTTTACTTAAGATCTTCCTATAGTCTTGCTTAGGCAGAGGTGGAAATTTGTTAGAATATTGCTAGGATTTTTTTTTTCCAGATTAACCCAGGGGAGGGTAAGAAATCAGGATTTTCTACCCTTACTATGTTGCTAGATGATACTCTGATTGCTTTTTTTTCATTCTCATATCAGGCCTTAGAAAAATTATAGGATGTGCTGGATGTAATGACCACCAAGCCATATACTACTGCATATTGAATCAGAATTCCAAGAGACTTTTTATTTGCCATTGATTTACAGAATCTGGAGAGAGTTACAGATACTATTTAGGAAAATGTTCACATCTCCATTGCTAGAGGTCCCAAAGTCTGATAAATATGTAGTGTTTATGTTCAGTTACATGATGGTATTAACATTATAACTCTAAGATTAAATTCAACAGGTGGTGCTAATCTCCAGCACCTGAATTTCTCAAATTACAGGCTGTCTGCAATGATTGTCTTGTCTCATACGGCTGCAGACTAAATTACTGTTGAGATTAAATCACTATGTGCTTTTGTTGAAAGACATGCTGCAAGTCAGGCCGGTGATGAGCAATGTGTGTTGAAGCTTAAAATATCACTTTCCATGGTCATATTCTCTACTTGTTCACAAACGATGTGAGCTGAAATTGTAATTCTAGTGTGACGGAGTGAAGGCTACTTGGAGTTTCTTGTGATAATGAAGACCTTTCATTTTCTGTTAGAGAGATTCTTGCTCTTCATTTCCAACCCTTTTCCCCAGATCCTTTCCCACAAATGTTTCACCAACTCATTTCAATCTTGTTCATGTCTGTCACTGCAGGTACTGTATCTCTATCCTGCCATTACTGTTGTGGTCCCCAGTTTTGGAGCTACTGATTTCTAACCAGATCAGCCAGAAAAGAAAAGAAGTCAATTTTCATGGCTTTGGAAACCTTCTGTATTTAGAACTACAGCATAATGTATAACCAAACTAAAGCACGTGAGTGCACGTGCATGCACACGCGCGTACACACACACACACACACGCACGCACAAACACTGAATCAAGCAGCCTTCGGAGAAAAGGTCCAATTCTCCCAGCAGAGTGGAAGGGGGGGCATGGAGTGTATTGTTTCCAACCTGGATCTGGTCTGGATAGATAAAGTCATTTGCCATCTGGTGGACCCTGTGAAATGAAACCAAGAGCCGAATCCCATTTCCAGTGGACAGGAGCCCTTATCATAGGAGGCCCACTTGTCACCTGGGCTGCCCTTTTCTGAGATGGCTTATGAAAGAGCAGTGATCAATGGGGTCTGAAGCTGAGCTACTATCTCCTTGCTTCAGTAGTAGCTCCCAGGAATGGATTTTATACATACTAATAACATGCTTGTCCTTGGTTCTTTCCCTCCTGAAGCACTCAGTTATTCAGACAAAACAGAACTGCTTGGAGGTAACAGTATGTTTGCTATTAATTCACAGATGTCCAACTGGAGTGATAGGAAAAGTCAATGCGAGAGTTGAAAAATAATTCAAAACCAGAAAAAAAGGTGCATGCCATATAACTTACTTAGGAATTATGGAATAAGTATTCTTCTTTTTAAAAAGTATATAAACTCTCAAATGTAAGTTTGCACCATTTATTAGACCCCATTTTATAATATTTGAGGCAGCCAATCAACGATAGATAACTTGGATCTCAAAATCAAAGTGAGCTAATTTTCAGTGCTCAGGTACTAACAAAATGTAACTTGTCAATGGTGATAAGACCCTGTTATCACACATCGTCAACCAAAAAGAATTATAAAATGAACTATTTTTCATGGGTGAGGAGTTGCAATAATGTGGTTGCTTTTAACAGGAGAAATGTTCATATAATATTTGTTATAATACATAACCTTAATTCTGAGAGTCAGGAGTGTTTCTCCAGCTTCCCAAGGAGTAATGCCAAGATACCCCCCCCTGCCAAAGTCCAGACCACACCTGGTAAATGAGTCTGAGCTGGCTCCCTCTCCACTTCTGGGCATTCTGTCCTCTTTGCTCGTCCTTGAAAACTCATTGTGTCTCAGGACCTTTGCACTTGCTCTCCCCTCTCCCTGGAAAACTCTTGCCCGAGATTTTGTACATGGTTAGCTCCTTCTGGTCATTCAGTCCTCAGATCACATGTCATCTTCTTCTGGACAACACTCTTTAAATAGCTCTCTCCTTAATAGTCATTCTCTATCACATTAGCCTGTTTTATTTTCCTTATACTAGTTAACAATATCTGAATAAATCTTAAAGTTATCTTTTCTATTGTTTGTCTCCCCCCCCTTCCCAGGTAGAATCTAAGTGCTGTGATAGCAAAGTATTTGTACATCTTGTTGACCAGTTTAACTCCAGGCCCTAGAATAATACTTGACACTTAATGAGCACACAGCAAGTATTTATTGAAGGAAAGAAGAAAGCAGAGTATATGGGGAGAGGAGATTGTGGAGAGGGATAAAGCTACCTCACCTTATGCAAAGTCTTTTCTCTATAAGAAACCC